CCCCTCTTGTACAAAGAACCGTCCGGAATAAGAAAGAAGCAATGAAAGGAGCCCTTATGGAAACTTTAGAAGAACTTGTGATGAAGGAAGAGGTAGAGGACACACCCGAAGAAGACCCAATTAAACCCTGCACTAAGTCATGCTATTCATGTGGAGAAGAAGGACACATCTCCCAAAATTGTCTGAATGGGGATCTAGTAGAATTCCCGATGGAGGAAGTAGAGTATGACCCACAGGAAATACAAGCCCTGTTTGGAATGGTAAAGTCCAGGAAGAGAAATAGATTGGATTCCAGGAACAACCCAATTTCTGCAGAGAAGGATCTGAGTCATGTCACCTGTTACAGGTGCAAGGATTTAGGTCATTACGCCTATATATGTCAAAAGAAGAAATACGCCGATAGATGTCAAAAAAGGAAGCCGAGGGTCAAAGGAGGCTACGGAATCACAAGGAAACCACAAGACTTGTCGGTAGTAATATGTTTCCGCTGTAATGAAGTAGGGCACTTTGCGAGAGATTGTCCCAATGAGAAGGAGGCTTGTGCTAAATAGTTGAGTATGTGAGAAGTATAGTAGAAGTAGTGAGAACATTTTTATTATTGAAGTGTTGAGTTGAGGTCTGTAATGGAAATACATGAGATTGTAGTAATTGGAGAATCAATAAAGTTATCATCATTGGTACTGATTTGGATTTTTATGAGTTGTTACTCTATGAAGAAAGATTTTGACCATCTTCGAGGATATGAGAATCTATGGAAGATTGGAGCATTTAAAGGGTGGTAGTACCCTGTGAGGAGATTGGACCTCTGGAGAGGATTATGATATTCCACGGAGTGGACTTCGAACAATATAAGAAGGAGTTTTGTCTCGATATGTGGGATACCCCAAGAGTATGAATGAATGAAGTACTATTTGGATATAAAGGAGGTATGATGTTGGTAATATGGAGCAATGGTGACTCTCTGATGAGTCTGAGTAATCATGTTTAGTTTGGTACCAACCGAAGGAAGGGAGACAGTACAATTGCATGGATTTAAGAATGATAGGAAGTTGGATGTTGGAATAATGATCAGTTGCCCCCGATGATGAGTTCAAGATTACAAGTGATGAGATGGGCCATAACCCACAGGCCCAGGACCTGCCAAGAAGCAAGGACACTCTTGCTGAAGGAAAAACCATGGAAGAAGATATGCCTTTATCAACAGACGATTTTATATGAGCAACGCAAAACCTGAGAGTTGTGAAGAAACAATAGATGTTTTGTTTGGCTTGCAGAATCAATGGATTTATCCGAACTTTGTTCGTCGACAAGAGAAATTCTGCAATGCTTGTGAGGATGACCGAGTGTTAGAATGCGAGATTCGCTAAACCATGTACAGGGTAATGATTTGGGTGTGGGATGGATTGATCACCATACCGACTTACTCTTATTATTCGCCTTGCTATATGGGATGGTAAATCTGAGTGACTTACCCATAGTAGAGAGACGACGATCAAAACCTTGTTTAAACCTTAGAATGGTATAAGTATTTTTCCCTTGTACAAGGCAGTTGTTGCCAATCGTAGGATATACGGTGAGAATGAAGCCCAGACCCATTTCCTGCAGGAGAAACCATAAATTTTTGACTACCATAAGATATCGATAGTTGTTTAGTATTGGCGCCAGACCCGTCAGCTAAGAAGACCCAGTCATGGAATAACCTTACCAAGATTAAATGGACACAAGAATTGAGGAAAAGGTTATGCCATCACCGGAAGAGCCCAGAGAAGGAATTATCCTGAAGATCAAAGAAGATTGACACTGTCAACAATAAGGATGGAGTATATGAGTTTTGATGGAACCGTAACAATGTTTCTAAGGGTGGTAGCACCCTAGACCCCAGAGATGATCGATGGATTTTGAGAAGACCCCGACCCTAACCTATTTCTTTCTAGCCTCTCCGAATCTCGAGGACGAGATTCATTTTAAGGGTGGTAGGTTTGTAACATCCCAAAATTCTAAATTTTGGAATGTTATATTAAATAGATAGATTTGATTGTTTGTTTGATTGTTGTGTGATTGATTGACTGAAAGTGAGTGAATTCGAAACTTTTGAAAGTTAAATGAGAGGGAATAAAAAGGACTTTCCCAAACTTTCATTTTTGCATTTTGATCTCCATGAATTCAAATTCTTTTCACCCAAAACCCTGGAGAGAAGATGACATGACTTCTTCCATTTATTTAAATGACAAGGGGTGTTGAAAATAATTGAATTTCATGTGGAAAATATTTCCAACCCAGGTGCAACTCAATGATTTTCACGAGCGAAGATAAAATGACTTCTTCAAAACATATGAAATATGAGTTGGGAGTTTCAAAGAATCAAATTCAAAGTTCTTTTAAATTTATTTTCAATTTGGAGTTATTTGTGTTTTATTCAAATTATTTTTCTCCAAAACATAAAATATATGGAAATTAGGGTAACATGATTCCCTACATTAGAAAATTGGAGAGAAATAAATCTGAATTAATTTTAGTATTTTTAAAATGTTTTTTAGTGGATTTTATTAGAGCAGTAGCACTATTTGAATTATTTGAATTTTTGTAGATTTAAGTTAAAGCTAGAATAATGTTCATGTTGTAGAAAATCTTTTTCTGAAAATTTAGATATATTATATGCCTATATAATATTTTTAATTTCCTTTGCTTTATTTGTTTTGTTTGTCTGTTTAAAAAAAAACTTCTCTCCCGACCGAACTGGGGTGGCCCAGCTCAGCTAGGCCACGGCCTAGTGCCCCGTCGCCCTCGAACCGCCCGAGCGAGAGACCGCCGCCCGCACGACAGCCGCCGCCGCCTCGACGTCCGTGCCGCCTCCGGACTTCCCTGCCCCCTCGCGCACGCCAGCCGCCACTGCCCCTCCCACCTTTATAAGCGGAGCGCCCCGGGCCCTCTCTCTCCTCCTCTCCTGCCGCGACTCGCCGGAGCCGCCACCACATCTCATCGGAGCCACCGCCGCCCGCTCCGTCCCTTCGCCGTGGACCGCCGCCGACGCCACCATCCTCCCCGCCTCGATGCGCCGCCCCTTCCCCGCTACTCCGCCGTCGCTGCCGACGCTCGGAGCCGTCGCCCCGTTCCTCGCCAACGCCCGCCGCCGCGGGAAGCCACCGGAGTTCCGCCGCTGGTTTTCCGACGGAAAACCGCCCCAACCGGTAAAACCCTAGTTCGGTTTTATTTTGGTTCTTTTCGGTTAAGTTAGGTCTAGATCGTTTTTTAGTTAGATTTATTTTATGGACGTTCATTAGTTAGGATTCTGTAGTGAGCGAGTTCGTCGGATTAGGCTCTGTAACGAACGGCCGTTCTGTAGAGTTTTTCCTTTTTCTTTTTAATTTTAGGTTACGGACCCATCCATGAATATTATGTTTACAGATTAGTCCCTGTACTTCAATCAAACACAACTTTTCGCTCATTAGTCCAAATCCAACGAAACCAACGCCTACTTCTTAGTTATGATCCCCTCTATCCAGTAAAACAACTTAAACATGTTTTTGAAAGTTTAAAATTTGTTTTTCAAACAATTTAGTATTTGAACTTCGTTTGATCATAACTTGAGTTTTGTAACTCCGTTTGAGTTGATTCTTTTTGCAAATCGAAGCTCTTGAACTAAACTTTCTGATAAGGCCAAATTCACATAGTTTTGGTACTATTAGAAATTGTTTTATGCTGCAAGAGTTATTTGGTTGGTTTTGATGTTTTCCGATTTGTTTTCTTCGTTCTCTCTGATCTTTTGAGTGATTGCTTATGTGTGGTTACTATTGTGCTTACGATAGATTGGACAGAGTGAGATGAATAGAACTATCAGGAGTTGAGTGCGAATCATCTTCATCAACAATACAGGGAAGTTCACACTTTGATCATACTTTTCACACCCAACTTTTATGCATTAGTTTCAACCCTCAAACATTGCATTAGTAGGATCTGATTAATATGTGGGTTTTGGGAAGTAGATGAGGTAGTGCCTATTACCTGTTTTTATTATCAAACCCTTGGGAGTTACTTCTATGTTTGCTTATTGCCATGCTATGCTAGTAGACGTGGATTGGGTGAGTGTATCTATGACAGATGTGAGATTGATAATTAATGGTTTATTTAAGGTGGCAACTTTAATACACATCTGGGTGGATTGAGGCACTTGGGTATTCCAGGATTGCCTGTTTGTTTTTGGACCGCCACCCAGGCTCAAAGGGATCATAAGATTATTCATGCTAGAAACTTCCGTGTGCAGCCACATGCTATTATGGGCTCTAGCATAGTTGATTAAGTCGTGCGAACTCTTACAGTGGTAGACTAGCAGATGTAGGGGATGTAGGTGGTATGGTCTACCCAATCGTAAGGTGCTAGCGCTTCTGAAAGACTATGTCTCGGTCATCCGTTTCTCACCATGCAGTGCGAGAAAACAAACGGACACTACTAGGGAAAACCTTATACACAGAATCTTAGTAGCAGCGCGGTACAAAAAGAGGCGCTACTACTAATTATCAGTAGCGCGGGAACAAAACAAGCGCTACTGCTACACAGTTAGCAGTAGCGCATCCCAGTGGAACCACGCTACCACTAAAATCGACAGACAGTACCCGCCACCCTAGATTTAGCAGCAGCGCGCTCCTGCTACCCGCGCTACTGCTAAGCGAATAGCTATAGCGAGGTGAGATACCCCACGCTACTACTGAGCGTGTCCCCCCACACCACACCGGCACACCGACCCCGATCGACCCTCACCCCACCAAACTCTCTCTATCTCTCCTCTCATCCACAGCCGCCACCGCACTCATCCGCCCGGCGATCCCACCGGCCGACGCCCTCCGCCCTCATCCCCTCCACCTTCCCCCACCTTCTATCCATCTATATGCCCCTATACTAGATCGAGCAGGCGGGCGCCGTCAGATCAGGATCGGTCATGCCCACGGCGGGGCATCTGGATCCATGAAGGGGAGAGGAGGATGGCAGTGGCGGCGGCGGCTGCGATGCGGGCGGTGCTGGCGCGGCTGGGGCGCCCGGCGGAGCAGTCCGGGCGGGCGGCGGAGGCGGTGCGGGTGGTGGCGATCAGGAAGACCAAGCCGGTGTCCCTGCTGCAGCAGCTCTACAACGGCGGCCACCGCTGCTTCGGCGAGAACTACGTCCAGGAGTTCGTCACCAAGGCGCCGCAGGTGAGGCCACCTCCCCCGGATTGGATTGGACTGGATTGGGTTGGGTGGCTGGATCCCCATCTGCTTGCTGGTTGATTGATTCTGCTCTATTCTCCTGTCTTCTGCAGCTTCCAGAAGATATCCGGTGGCATTTTGTCAGGCACTTGCAGAGCAACAAGGTGAAATCGCTTGTAGGTATGGTTAAGCTTTTGCCTTCTTCAGCTAGCCACCGGCGACCGGCCTGGAGCATTTGTTTGCATTGAAGATTTGTCAAATGGTTGTGGAAGGATTGTTGTTCTTTGCCATAACACCACATCTCACTCCACGCATCATCTCTGGACACCGCTCTTCCGCTACTACAACCCCAGCTAGCACCAACACCGCACTTCGTCACTCCTTTGTTATATGGAAGAAGACTTCATGGTTAGCATTATTTATTATAACACATCCATATAAGATTTTCTTGCCACTATAAGTAGGAAGTTAATTTTTTATATGTGCTAGTGGACAAGTGAGGAGTTCTGTAATTCACTACATCATTTTGTCATACAAATTTGTTTGTTCTTATATGTGCCTTCGGACTAGCAATTGTGGAGGGAGGGTAAGGCAGGCCTAGGATGTTTGTGCGTGCATTTAACACATCTTACATTGTTGTTATCTACGCCGACGGTATCAAGTGGCAAACTTTCTATTGCGTCCTAGTTATCTCCCAGCTTTCATAATTATCACACTGCTTGTCTCATGCTAGATAGTTCATTATTTTGATTGGTAGTTGTCGTTACACTATTTTTGTAGTTGCTACTTTTTATGTGCTCATGGCGAAGCTAACCAGGCTCAAGAACATAATAATGATTCATTTGTTTGTCTGTTTTCGTTGCCATTTTGAAGTGGTAATCAAAAAAGCAAAATTGAGTGATGATCTTGATTAATTTCTCAAGGGAGTATTCACCAAAAAAATTCCTTAATGGAGTTGCCATATACCCCCTGAGTGTTTATCTTGCAAAACGATCCTATATTATTGGACGGAGGACTTAAGTAGCAAGAATATTTTGTGCTCATAAACTCTTTGATTTGATATTTTGATGATAAACTAGAGGCAGAACAACCATGTATTTTTAGAAATTTTGAACTTCTTATCCACCTCTATCTCACTCTGCATGCCAAATGCAAAGAAATCGGTTTGTTGAGCGCTGCTACTGAGACCCCTGTGTTTTTTAAGTTAGAAATCTGTTAAACTAGCTAGGTAAACTTGTAGGCTAAGTAAACCTGTAGACCCCTGTGGTTCTTAAAGTCTTTTAAGATCAATTTCTTATGTGTACCAATCTTTTTCTGGCTATGTATTCCAGGTTTCCAACTTGTATTGCAAAGTACACTGTGAACACATAAAACTGAGTCTGAGTTGTTACATGTCTCAAATTTTATTATAGGAATGTGAATATTGGCCATTCTGGTTCTTCCTGTCCATTTCTTGTATAAGCAGTTTACCAAGTCTTCTCCAATAGTAATGCATATGTCATGTATGTTCCTATTCGCTCCCAATTTCTTGAATATCTATGATCTGAATATGCATAATTTTGATAAATTTGGCAGGAACTCGGGAAGGTGCCAAGGAGATGCTGGACCAAGGCGTGGAGGCACTGCAAGCTGAAGAGCACATATATGCAGATGCTGGAGGCCGGGCCGGTGAGCCGAGGATTGGAGGCAGCGGTGATTGGTGTTTTTATGAAGAGATAGGATGCCACTGTTTGGTGTTTTTATGCATTTTGGTTTGCTTGTAACTGTGTTTGCACTAGCTGGGAGTAAGTGACTTAGCAAGAAGTGTAGGTGTTTTAATTGAAGGCATGAAAAGCCATGACAATATGTATGCTCTTACAGGATGTGCTCTAATGCCGCTGGTTTATTTTAAATCTTGGATTAGTAATGATGTGTAATGCTGCTGGTTTATTGCAAATGTGTTTGTTTTAGTTGGAATCGTATGTATAGAATGGAATTGGTGGATTTTTTAATTCCTAATTAGTTAGTAGTAGCGTGGGAAAACACCAAGCGCCTTACTACTACTTCGTTAGTAGTAGCGTGGGTTTGCATCCACGCTACTACTAACTTTTTAGTAGTAGCGTGGGAAAAAACCAAAGGCGCTACTACTATTTCATTACTAGTAGCGTGGATTGCACCCGCGCTACTACTAAAATGTTAGTAGTAGCGCGGGCTTCACCCGCGCTACTACTAACTATTAGCTGTAGCGCAATATTAGTAGCGCGGGTACCTGCGTTGCTAGTAGCCATTTTACCTGCGCTGCTAGTAGCCTTTTTCCTAGTAGTGGGAGGAGATCGAGTCTTGTGGGGAAAAGTGCGCAACCTCTGCAGAGTGTACAAACTAATCATGATTAGCCGTGTCCCCGGTTATGGACGTTTTGAGTATCTAGTACTTGGATTATCATGTTGATCTCATCATGTTACTTTAATTAATATTGGTGGGTTTTAAAGATGATGCTTAATTGGGATTGAGAATGCTATCAACCATTCTTAATGTTTAACAACCACCATGATAGTCAAATAAAATTTATTCCTTTGCAGTAGGGAAAAATTGGCTTTATGCAAAAATGTAACCGTAGAGCTTTCCACCAGCCATATATGCATGTAGTGATAGCTATTATTCATCATTGCTCTATGGTGTGAATTTGCCAGTATATTCAATGTACTGACCTACTTGGCTGCAACGTCTCATGTTGTAGGATTTCTTACGACAAGTAAGTGTTACGTTAGGGTTACGGTTTCTACACTCAACTTTGCCGTTGGTGTTTTTGGGAATCCACAACCTTGTTACTTCCGCTATTTGGATTGAGGTAATGGCATTTACGTTACTTTATACATATGATTTACCTCTGTTATAAATCCTCGAGTACTGTGTGTGTCAGCATACCGATCCAAGGATGACACTTAAGCACAGAGACTTGACCCATTCGGGTCGGGTCGCTACATATGCTCATTTCCATTAAGATGAAAGGTGACATTGCCTTTGTTGCAATCAATAACAGCTCCTGCAGTATTTAAAAAGGGTCTACCAAGAATAATAGACATACTATCGTCCTCGGGAATATCAAGAATAACGAAGTCTATTAAGATAGTAACATTCGCAACAACAACAGGCATGTCCTCACAAATGCCGACAGGTATAGTAGTTGATTTATCAGCCATTTGCAAGGATATCTCAGTGGGTGTCAACTTACTCCATTCAAGTCTACAGTACAAGGAAAGAGGCATAACACTAACACCAGCTCCTAAATCACATAAAGCAGTTTTAACATAATTTCTTTTAATAGAGCAAGGTACTCCGGGATCACCAAGTTTCTTAGGTATTCCACCCTTAAAGGTATAGTTGGCAAGCATGGTGGAAATCTCAGCTTCAGGTATTTTCCTCTTATTGGTGATGTTATCTTTCATATATTTAGCGTAAGGGTTTAATTTAAGCATATCAGTTAAGCGCATGCGTAAGAAAATAGGTCTAATCATTTGAGCAAAATGCTCAAAGTCCTCCTCATCCTTTGTCTTGGATGGTTTAGGAGGAAAGGGCATGGGTGTCTGAACCCATGGTTCTCTTTCTCTACCGTGCTTCCTAGCAACAAAATCTCTCTTGTCATAACGTTGGTTCCTTGATTGTGGGTTATCAAGACCAATAGCAGGTTCTGTTGGGGAACGTAGTAATTTCAAAAAATTTCCTACGCACACGCAAGATCAAGGTGATGCATAGCAACGAGATGGGAGAGTGTTGTCCACGTACCCTCGTAGACCGTAAGCGGAAGCGTTAGCACAACGCGGTTGATGTAGTCGTACGTCTTCACGGCCCAACCGATCAAGCACCGAAACTACGGCACCTCCGAGTTTTAGCACACGTTCAGCTCGATGACGTCCCTCGAACTCCGATCCAGCCGAGTGTCGGGGGAGAGTTCCGTCAGCACGACGGCGTGGTGACGATCTTGATGTTCTACCGTCGCAGGGCTTCGCCTAAGCACCGCTACGATATTATCGAGGTGGACTATGGTGGAGGGGGGCACCGCACGCGGCAAAGAGATCCAAGGGATCAATTGTTGTTGTGTCTATGGGGTGCCTCCCTGCCCCCGTATATAAAGGAGCAAGGGGGGAGGCAGCCGGCCTAGGGAGGAGGCCCGCCAAGGGGGGAGTCCTACTCCCATCGGGAGTAGGACTCCTTTCCTTGTTGGAGAAGGAAAGAGGAGGAGAGGGAGAAGGAAAAGGGGGCTGCCCCCCTTGTCCAATTCGGACCAGAGGGGGGGGGGGCGCAGGCCTCCTTCCTTTTGGCCTCTCTCCTCTATTCCCGTATGGCCCAATAAGGCCCATATACTCCCGACGAATTCCCGTAACTCTCTGGTACTCCAAAAAATACCCGAATCACTCGCAACCTTTCCGAACTCCGAATATAGTCATCCAATATATCGATCTTTACATCTCGACCATTTCGAGACTCCTCGTCATGTCCCCGATCTCATCCGGGACTTCGAACTCCTTCGGTACATCAAAACTCATAAACTCATAATATAACTGTCATCGAAACCTTAAGCGTGCGGACCCTACGGGTTCGAGAACAATGTAGACATGACCTAGAACTATTCTCGGTCAATAACCAATAGCGGAACCTGGATGCTCATATTGGTTCCTACATATTCTACGAAGATTTTTATCGGTCAAACCGCATAACAACATACGTTATTCCCTTTGTCATCGGTATGTTACTTGCCCGAGATTCGATCGTCGGTATCCAATACCTAGTTCAATCTCGTTACTGGCAAGTCTCTTTACTCGTTACGTAATGCATTATTCCGTAACTAACTCATTAGCTACATTGCTTGCAAGGCTTATAGTGATGTGCATTACCGAGAGGGCCCAGAGATACCTCTCCGACAATCGGAGTGACAAAACCTAATCTCGAAATACGCCAACCCAACATGTACCTTTGGAGACACCTGTAGTACTCCTTTATAATCACCCAGTTACGTTGTGACGTTTGGTAGCACCCAAAGTGTTCCTCCGGTAAACGGGAGTTGCATAATCTCATAGTTACAGGAACATGTATAAGTCATGAAGAAAGCAACAGCAACATACTAAACGATCAAGTGCTAAGCTAATGGAATGGGTCAAGTCAATCACATGATTCTCCTAATGATGTGATCCCGTTAATCAAATGACAACTCTTTTGTCCATGGTTAGGAAACATAACCATCTTTGATAAACGAGCTAGTCAAGTAGAGGCATACTAGTGACACTATGTTTGTCTATGTATTCACACATGTATTATGTTTCCGGTTAATACAATTCTAGCATGAATAATAAACATTTATTATGATATAAGGAAATAAATAATAACTTTATTATTGCCTCCAGGGCATATTTCCTTCAGGTTCAATTTCTATTTCATTGTTTTTGCTAGGTTGAGCATCTACATGAACATCATTATTAGCATTAT